GTAGGGGTGGAGTCTAGCCTGTTGATCGATCAGGTCACAGCTTGATGATGCCTCCCTGTGGGCGTGGCCTTCTCACGAGGATTCTGGGACCGTCCTCTCCTTCTCCCTGGAGGCTGGCCACACACGCTCTCTCTCTGCTTCACCTTCCTGTTGACAAGCCACGTGCAGCCACACTGAGACCTGTGAGGGCCTTGGAGATGTTTCCACCGCTGCTGGACCCACAAGACTGCACCCACTGGCCTGTGATCTTCCTGCATTTTGCGTCATTGCATGTACTGCTTGAGTCTGAAGAGGGATTCATAGACTAGTATTGGATTTATGGGCTAATATTGGACTTATGGACTCGATCTGGACTGGGCTGGGATTTTTTTTTTTTTAATCAAAAGATCATTTTATTGGGGGTTCTTACAACTTTTACAACAATTCATACATCAGTTGTATCAAGCATACTTATACTTATGTTGCATCATTCTTTTCTAGGCATTTACTTTCTATTGACCCCTTGGTATCAGTTCCTCTTCACACCCCCTCATGACCCCGTGATAGATTATAAATTATTATTATTTTCATAGCTTACACCAACAGCTGTTGTGTCCCTTCCCTCACGGTTTCTGTTGTTCCTCCTCCTGGAGGGGTGTGTGTGTGTGTGTGTGTGTGTGTGTGTCAATCATGGCAATCGGTTCCCCCTTCCTCCTGGGATGTTTTCTTAATGTACAATTGATATTTGATATAAAGCTTTTCTCTCACACATATATGAGTGTCTTTCTACTGGTTTTTCCAGTCAACCTGGACTCCCACAGCAGCCATCACTGATTAAGAAACCATGCTGCTGGCCAGGGCCCACAGGCCAGGGCAGGAGGCAGTGGGAGGCTTCTGCAGAATAACTAGGCATTGGATGACCTTGGAAGACCAGAGAGGAAACATCACATAGTCACTTTCAGGGAGAAAAACTGACCACTTGAATGACTTCTCCTACCAGCTGTGCTGTCCTATAAAGAGCTATGAGTGTAGAGACTACTCTTCCCACCTCCACCACTACCTGCCCACTTCCTTGCATACTGTATATATGTGTATTTTACACACACACACACACACACACACACACACACACACACACACACTTGGTGTTCTCTTTTTCTTTGCCCCCAAACTTCCTGCTTTGAGCATCAGCTTCTTCACTGTGGACTTGGACATGCCAGAGACCTTGATGAGTCCTTAGAATTTACTTGTAGAAGTAAAAGCAGTCTCCAGGGGGCGGGACCTTTTACAAATCAAGGAAAAGCCTGTCTCCGGAGCTCCGTTAATATTGAAGTGAAACGATCATTTTTCTTAAAATCTCTATGGCCGGCTTATCCTCGGTGTGATTGCACATTGGGTTGCCGATCTCAAGGTCAGCGGTTTGAAACCACCAGCTGCTCCATGGAAGAAAGGCGGGGCTTTCTGCTTCCGGAAAGAGTTACAGTCTCGGAAACTCACCGGTGCCATTCCGCCCTGCCCTGTAGGGTTGCCGTGAGTTTGGTGGTTTTGTTCTGGATTGTTCTGCTCCGGCATTCGCTTCCTCTCTCTGGGTCTTTGGCCCTCCTCTCTGCTCCTGGAGCCAAATCTCCCTCTTTGGAGCGCGTCTCCAGCTTGCTGGCCTTTTGAGCCAAAGTTCAAAAGGTCCAGGCTCCCACACTTCCTGGCCGCGTGACTTTGGTCCATTGTTTTTAAGCTTCTGGGTTAAGTAGAATAACTCCATTTTTAACATGTGGGGCAGTACTGGAAATTAGAAACCAACTCTTGGCCCCATTCCGTGCCGGACACTTAAAACTCATTTCAAAATTTTTAAAGTGCTTCTACGTGAGATGGGAGAAAAATGAGGCTTTCCACTCCCAAAAAGAGTTATGCTGCCTGAGACGGAATGTGGGAGGTTGGGGCTCAAGAGATGGACCCAGAAACCTACAGGGGCAGTTCTACCCTGTCCTATAGGGTCGCCAAGAGTCAGGATCGACTCGGCAGTGAGTTTGGTTTTAGTTTTCTGTGAGCATCGTGGAGGTGATGGGAGGTCTCTGCAGCTGTGAGATCATAGCCTTTCAATGTCACAAAGCTCCCAGCATGCAAACTTGAGGCCGCCCCCTCCTCCTCCTCTACCTTCCCCACCCCAAACAGGAAAAAGCCCAGTTGTCATAGTGTCTATCGGAAATCGTGGTGGCCTCCTGTGTGTCAGAGGAGAATGTGCTCCACTGGGTGTTTAGTGATGGGGTTGTGGGAGGTAGATTGCCAGACCTTTCCTCTGAGGTGCTGCTAGTAAGCTGGACTTTCTGACCGTGGGGTTAGCAGTTACTACAAATGGCTAACATTTGTTCCACCCAGGCCTCCCCATCTGCAGGCCAAAGTCCCTGTCTGCCAACCTCCTTTCTCAGCAGACCTCTCAGACATGGCTCTTGGCTTTAAATGGTGATGCTTGCCTGTCCCCGCGTTGGGAGGGCTTAGCTCCACTTTGGGTGAGCGCTGCCTGTGACTGAATGTGGGTGCTTGGGGGGCAAGAGTGTGGGCTGTGTAGCTCGCCCCGCCCGGGGGCTGGACCCTGGTGAGTCCCATTCAGACCTCTCCTGGGCAGCAACTTTCATTCCTAGACATTCTTTCTTGGGTCACTGTGTCCTTGTCTGTGGCCACCACCGAGCCCCAGCCCTGTGGCCTGCCCCTGTTCTCCACTCCTCAGTTTAAGTCAGGATTCCAGGAGGCTGGCGGTGGCTTCCCCAGCATCCCCAGAGCCAACCTTCCTGATTCTCTAGGTTGCTGATTTTAGGTCTAGGAAGCAGTCATTTCACTCATTAGGCAAGTCATGGTGAGGGCCACAGCGTCTATGCGCAACTGAGTGGACCTGTTCCCTGCCCCTCCCCTAGCACAGGCCACGGCAGCCACTCTGGGGCCCTCTCACTGACTTCTGGCCTGAGCAGTTGGATCCTTATCCCCCCTGAAACCTCATGTAGCACATCAACTGGTGCTTTGTTTCTGTGTCACAAAAAAAAACACAAAAAAAACAGAAAAGGGGACAAAGGGATTCATTTTTCTTGACTTATGAGCTGTGATTTCTTGACAAACAGATTTAGAGACTCACTACTGCCATCCACAGACCTTGCTGGGCACTAGTTGTTCTATGTGTGGGGGGCAGCCTAGTGGCCTGTCCCTGCCCTTGGCACTGTCACACAGGCCTGAAGCCCAGAGGCAGTCCTCAGAGCCCTGTGGCCCTGTGCCTATGCAGGGCCAAAAGCCTGGTGTCTGGAGGGGGGCTGGTCTGGCTCTGGCTCAGCGCTGCCTTTCACACTCCTTTCCTGCCCACACTTCAAAGCCGAGTCCAAGTCTCCTTTTTCATCCAAGCCCTCCTCCACCGCCACAGCCCTGCTGTCCTAACCTCCTGTAGCGCTCTCTAGCCTACCCCGGCTTCCCGCAGCACACCTGCCGGAGATGAAGCAAGCAAGACTCAGTCGGCAGCTCACTTTCCAGAGGGTCCCAGAGTTAGTCACCAGCAAAGGGGGGGCTCGGATGTGTGTTTTCTGATTCCCCGGGCAGGCCTTCTCTTGAATACCAGGTTCTTCTTTTTAAATAAAATATGATTAGATTTTCAGTGAAGGCTTGTACAGCCACTTAGGTTTTCCTTGAGCAATTTCTATATAATTTGTTCAGTGACATTGCTTATTTTTAAATATATATTCTTATTAAATATATATTTAAATAATTTTAATTATGCATAAATATAAAATATAAATAATATTAATATATATTAAAAATAAAAATATTTTAATTAAAATATATTTTGATATATTTAAAATATATTATTATCCCTAAAGAAAGCAGAAAATAATAAAAGTAGAACAAATTAAGAATTGGGATAAAAGGGAAAACAAATGATGACCTATTAAAATTTTAACCGAACTCAATCTGCATAATTGACTTTCTGATGTACTCTGTCTGTGGGAAGGGCTTTTTCCATCCCTGGTCAGAGGTCCAGGGGGTTTCAGTGGAGGCTCATTCCCCGTGAGGTCTCTGCAAATGGATTCTGGGCCTTCGCTGTCATCCATCGTTTTCTGCAAACTGGGGCCTCAGAATTTAAGCTCTAATACATTTCCCTCTTCTGATCTTGGATGTTGTGTTTTACAATCCTTACGTAAGACCGAGTTCTTATCCTCTGTGCTTTATCATTTCGCTCCACACTTGTGTCTTCAGAACTCCCCTGCCCCTCTTCCATCTCCTGCTCCCACACTGGTTTGTGCTTCCCCTTCAAGGCAGGACCCCAATCAGCCTGCCTATGGGGTGCCTCCTGGCCTGGACACTGAAGGCGCTCAGCCCTGTGTGGCTGGGGGAAGGGGTAAGTGGATGCATTTGGCTCATTCCTCCTTCTGTGCACCTGTCAAATACCTGCACCCCTCCTTTCTCCTCATCCTGGATCATATGGCAGCATCAGAAGCAAATTGGACCATTATGGCTCAGGTTGTATTTCAGACTACGGAGTCAAAATGTGGCCCTGGGTGCTACCTTCCAGCTCTTTCTTTGAGTTCACATCTTAGCTTGACACACACCTAGCTTTGTAGGACGTGTACCATTCAGACCCAAGAAAGTGATGCTTTCTCCTTCTTTGTTGTCTGTGTGTTGTTTTTCAACCTCTTTCTTTTCTCAGCATTTCTCACTTGCCAACAGTGCCCGAAAAGAGCACAAGGAAGCTTTGGGTTTGAAGCTAGGTTCTCCTATGATGTTTTTCCACACCGGTATCAGAGGCACAAACTGGGATGCGCGGTCACCTCATTGTAAATAAAGCTCATGAAGGCAACTGGCAGGAAACACACAGGGCAGTTGTTTATGAAAACTCTGGCGTCATGATGGGTCCCCATGACTTGGCATCATGCAGTGACAGCAGGGACAACCCAATACCCTTTCTGCACCCTCCTCTTCATCCTCTGTGCGGGGCCAAGCCCACCTGGATGTACGTCTGAGTCTGATTGCTGTCCTTTCCTTCCCTCCAGAGATCCTGCGGATCATTCAGTTGGACCTAGACCTAAAGTATAAGACCAACATCCGGGAGTTGTTTGAGGAGTTCGACAATTTCCTGCCAAGCGCCATCATTGGCATAGCCAGAGAGATGCAGCCGGTGTACAGGTACGTGGGGCTGTGTGCAGCTCGTGGGGCAACCCCCCTAAATCTCTTGCAGCACCCAGGCAGTCAGCTCGGCATCTTTTCCTGGAGTCCTTGGGTGGGGCAAACAGCGGCTCCTGTGCCGGGCCCGCTCACCCAAACATTAGAAGCTAGAATTCACGCAGACACTCCGTGACAATCACCTTCCAGAAACCAGCCACTGCCAGTCTTCTGGAAGCCAGTTCCACTCTGACCCTCCTCGGGGATGATGGCAGCTCGTGGGCTGGACTCGTAGCATTTTTGCATCTCTTCGGAACTCGTTTGTGCTTATTGCTGGTAGTAAGAGAGTACCGCAGATGTGCTCTCAAGCCAAGGATGCGACCTTATTAACTTTAGGGATGTTGTGACTCTTTTTTGTTCTGGGAACGCCTCATTGTTGGCTGTGGTTAAGTTCAGAATTTTAAGAATCTTGGGCTTTGTCTCACGGAAGTACCAGCAGAGAGACTTAGCTTCCACCCACCCTCGTGATAAACCAGGCTTCTCTGGCCTCCGAGTCACAAGAGTGACACCTGATCTCTACAGGGGTGAGCCATCACGTGTGTGAAGAAAGTTCATGTTTCTCCTTGTTCCATTTCCCCATGAACTTGCTGAAGCCCCTCCTAGGAGCGAGGTGGTTTCTGAGAGGCTGCATGGCATCCCTGGACTCCCGGCGGGCATTGCCCCATGCAGTGAAGAACCACTTTCTCCCTGCTGGTAGTGTTTCATGGCCAAGTGTGTGGCAGAGAGAAACTCCACACTGGCGAAACAGCACTGCGTGTGGTGGCCGAAGCCCAAAAACACGCTGACTCTCGGCAGACAGCCACGGGGAGATAGCAAGTGCATGCTGCTGCATCTGCCCATGGGAGCCCCGAAGGCCAGCATGGCATTGCCTGGGGTGGGGCTGAGGGTGGGGAACATGGGGTGAGTGCCACGTCTCTGACCTGGCAGCTGTATGTCCTTGATAGCTTCCTGCATGGACTGGAATCCATGTGACAAACACACAAAGGACAGAAGCACCTACAGGCAAGCAGCCCCCGGCTCTGTGTCTCAGAGGGTCACGAGTCTCTTCCTCCTCCGGGTCTGAGCCAGCGCTGCCCATGTTGGCTTGTAGTTCGGAGGAAATGCTCCATCCCCTGCGCCGGCCTGCGCTATGTTCTCCTCACCACCCACCACGCTGGCTCCCTGTGGACAGCGTTGGAGCGGGGCCCAGGCTGTGGAGAGCGGCAGGGCACAGGCAGCGAGTGACTCAGGGGCAGGCATTTCCCCTGAGAGGAAGGAGAAGAAGTGACAGTATAGCTTGGTCGTGGCTGTTTGCGAGACTGAGATCACATAACAGGAAATTCCTGATAACTCTGAGGGCCTTACATAATCCTCACAAAGTCACAAGGGCCTCATTACCCTGTGTGTGTGCGTGCCTGCGTGCATGTGTGTGCGTGCACGCGCACGCATGCGCCGTGGGGGGGCGGGCAGGAGAAGAGGTTTGGACAAACAGTTGTTATTTGATCAGGGGATCACCTCCATAAAGGTGTGTCTCAGGTTTGTGATTCTGCACTTAACGAGGGAAGAAGGTGAAGGAAACACTCACCTGTATCCGGGCTCAGCCGGACACTCTCCTTGGGACCTTGGTTTCCCCAGCTGAGAATAGGAGCCAGTCTCCCAACCCCCTTCCCCAGCTCTGCCATTCAGTGAGCTCACCGGTTCTTCTGGCCCGACACCACTTCCTCCCAGGGCTTCCCCTGAGCCAAGGCTTCAAACAGGTTCCTTCTGGTTAGATGTGGGGTGGGGGTGCGTTGGCCCTTGGGAGGACACCCACACCTGCTTAGAACTTGCATTTCTACCCCAGATATACTGAATGGAAATCTGCATTTTAATGAGCTCCCCAGATGACTTTTATAGCTCCTCAGCTGAGTTTTAAATGCCCATAAGAGTCACTTGGGGATTTTGCTTAAATGTCCATTCTGATTCGGCATATCTGGCATTGGCAATGCAAAGTCTCAGCAGGGCCACAAACCGGAGTGAAGCAGTGTGAAGCCCCGCTGACTGTCCACTTCGGGGAGCGTTTTGGAGCCCGTACTCCCAGGGGTGTTTAAACCAGGCGCATTATTAAATGTGTTACTGCACTGATGCTGTCTAGCCCCGGTGAGGAATCTTGTCGTGTAATATAAATGGAAATCTGGGAACCCGCTCAACACTTATATTTAAGCCATATTGGATTGAAGTTATATTTTCTATAGAGCGAGGATTTGATCGGTAGTGAAACTTGACTCGATTTAACTGGCCAGCTCAGAAGAAACCTCAGAAAGATTTTAAGTTCCAAATGAAATCAAGTTTTGGAAGTGTTAGTGAGTACTCTGTACTGCAAGAGAGCTGAGCCCCCAGCCACTGGCCACAGCCTGGTGGCCCAGTCCACAGAGGGCCCTGTTTGCAGCACAACAGAAATCCGAATGCCTTTGCATGGCCCTCCCTTCCCCTCCCTGCTGAAATGTTTTTAAGGAGGCCTGGTAATTAAGTGTGTAAATGAAGGCCCTTTACTAATATGTGCCCTACTGGCTCTGGGTAATTGCCTTTTAATATTTGGAGCCTCCTGCTGGGCTGGGGAATGGCTCGGTGCTGACTGGAGCCAGATGGAGACAGGAGAGCGTGGCTGCTTGCGTTTTCCACAATAAGCTTGGAGATGCTGGTGGCCTGAAAGCCTGGCCTTGTTTCCCTGCATCTTTGGAGCCTGCACCTCAGGGAGAAAGTTTGAGTTGGGGGAGGGGGACAGGGAGAGAAGAGGGTGGGGTGGGAGAGAGAGGGAGAACAGGTGCCCAATAAGGGCCCTCAGAGCTGCATCCTTCTGGAGAGTGGTGCTCAGCTCCTTTCTTCTTGGACTTGGTCAAGGGCCCCCCCCCGCCAGAGCATGTTGGGGAACCCCTGCCAAGTCTTCCTAAGTGGTGGACTACGAGGTGGGGGAGCGTTTGGCCTTTCATTCTTTTTTTTTTTTCAAAGAGCAATATTTTATTGAGAAAACATCCCATCACAATCCAGATGAAGTCCATGAGTCCGATATTAGCCCACATGTTTGATACTAGTCAATAAATTCCTCTTTAAACTCACGCAGTACATGCAATAATGCTGAATGCAGGAAGATCACAGGCCGGTGGGTGGAAAGTCCTGTGAATCCAATGGTGGTGGAAGCAACTCCGGGACTCTAGCTGCTATCAGCGTGGCTTCATTTGGCTTCCTTTTTTTTTTTTTTTTCTTTTTTTAAACATTTTATTAGGGGCTCACACAACTGTTATTGCAATCCATACACACATCAATTGTGTAAAGCGCATTTGTACATCATTCTCAAAACATTTTCTCTCCATTTAAACCCCTAACATTAGGTCCTCATTTTTCCCCTCCCTCCCCTCTCCCCCCTCCCTCATGAGCCCTTGATAGTTTATAAATTGTTATTTTGTCATATCTTGCCCTGTCCGACGTCTCCCTTCACCCACTTTTCGGTTGTCTGTCCCCCAGGGAGGAGGTCACATATAGTTCCTTGTCATCGGTTCCCTCTTTCCTACCCACTCTCCCTCTACCCTCCCAGTATCACCACTCACACCACTGGTCCTGAAGGGATCATCCGCCCTGGATTCCCTGTATTTCCAGTTCCTATCTGTACCAGTGCACATCCTCTGGTCTAGGCAGACTTGCAAGGTCGATTTCGAGTCATGGTAGTGGGAGCGGGGAGGAAACATCTAGAACTAGAGGAAAGTTGTATTTCTCATCGTTGTTACATCGCACCCCGAGTGGTCTTTCATTCTTACGGCAGGACGAGCAGAGGAAAGAATGACGGCAGCCGTAACTTGGTAACTGGGCACCGTCTGACCTGGAAGTGCACCAAGCAGGAATGAATCTGGTTCTCCTCAGCTGCGTCATTTTTCATGATCCCTGGTCTGACAGTTGTTTCACTTGGAAAGGGCACGTATTAAGTCCTTGTGACGCCTGTTGCCCCTTTCTTGTGTGCCTTGAATATTAGTTCTTGGAGGGGGAAGAACTCCACACTGTGCATTTTTAACCCATCCCCATCCCCACTGAGCTAATTGGAGAAAGGTGCCAGGACCCCAGGACATCAGACTAGTGTTATCATGTCACCTGCCCTTTCCCTGAAGGAAAGGAAATTGTGGCGCTGGGACCATCCCTGCCGGAACCTTGCCCGCCCTCCTCAGGCTCTCTCTACCTCTGCATCAGTGTCTCCTCCCCCGGCAGGTCCTCGTTGGTGGACAGGTGGCCGAAAAGAGGAGAGGGCTGGTGCCTTCTCTGTCACTGGAATGGCTGGCATTTGTAAATAGACCACTGTATCTTCTGCCTAGGATACCATTTTTAAATTTGTTTCCTGGTGACTGTATCAGAAAAGTAAAGGGACCATGCTGAACCCTCTGTATGTGCAGCCTGGGAACACGTGTGAAAGTGCTCCAGCAAGTGGAGCTTAGCATATGGACTCTAGGTGGAAGTCGGGGTTCTGTGCCCGGCTTTCCACCGGTGACCCAGGTGGCCCTTTGCAAGTCACTGGATTCTCTGACCTGAAGCTTCTTCAGTTGTAAGTGCAGGTACATATGTATATAGCATAGGATTACTCGAACACTCAGCTGATACACTGAACATGAGAGGTTTGGGTGTGAAAGAAGCCATTCCTCCCTCCCCCCTTCCCTTAATCTTTCTAACGCTGTGTGTGTGTGGGGGGGTGGGTGGGTGGGGGGGGGCTTGGGCCAGAGCTGGCTGCCCGAGGAGCAGCTACATGGGGGCTTTGTTGGTGGGGGCTGGGGGCTTCCTGTCTGGTCTCTGTGGGCCCACAGGCTGCATGCTGGTTTGAGCTCAGGACCACTGTGTGTTGGAAGCAGCACGCTCATCCTTTCCGCTGCTGATAACACACCACTGGCAAGAATTTGCTTTTGTAGTATTTTAATCGTGTCCACTCTTTCACCTTCTTAGATCACTTGTTTTTTTGGTTTCTTTGTTTC